TGACAAATTCATTTAATTGTGAAAATCCGCAACCGATGCTTATTGCACCCAGTACCGCAGCTCCATTTGTATTTAATTTTCCATCAGTTTTATCTGAATAAACTTTATGCTCAACTTTACATAAGTCGCATATTAATACAAATTCAGAAATAAAACCTTTTCTTACTTCCTTTAAAATGCGAACAGTGTTTCCAGAAGAGCCCGAAGAACAAGAAAATAATCCATGGTGAGGAAATGACAAAATCTGCTCGATAAATGATTGTACTTCAACGATTCTTCGCCCGCCCATCGAATCGCTGATTACCTTTTCCTTTTCGCAAGGCGTACTTTCCTGAGAGCAGTATAAAGAGTCCTGACTATTGTTTGAATATTTCCAATCTTCTTGTTCTATAATGCTTGCAGAAGTACTGGGTTGATCAGTTGTCGTACTAAAAGATGCGGCTGTGTGTTCTTCAATTATTAGGCTACTATTTGAAGCAGCATTTTGTCCACCATTTTTTAGTGTGTCGGGATTTGTGGACCATAACGTACGCATTGCTATTCTGAAAATAAACCAATATTAATAATGTAAAGGTATACTTTTGACCCTACAGTTCAGTGCATAACAATGTGACACAAGTAAATGTTCTTTAACTCAATACTTTTATTTCACCTAATTTTTATGCACTTAAAGTACGAATAAAAAACTTCTCTTACCTTCGCTTTGCCAACAGTCTTTTGTTTTTTCGATGACGGGTAAGTCCCAATTGTTTATTCTTACATCCTCCCATTTTGTTGAGGTAGAGATAAACGAGATGAACGTGATAAATAAAAAACTACTATACACTACGATTTACACACTACCACTTTTCGCAAGTTTTTTGATATAGAAAATAAACACTTGTATTATAATATTTTATCTTGTGAAACGATCCCTAAGATAAATAACAAGAAAATTACTAGGTCCCAAATTTATATGAGTTTTTCTTTCCTCCACCAAGATTCATCCCCAACCACTTTCTAATTTGCCTATCAAAAATTAGCATTCTGTTGTGACGTAGCCTTTCAAATCCAATCGGCATCAATATATCCACCTGCGAGAGAATTTCCAGGAACAGACTGTTTTCACGCATCTGTTTCTAAATTTCTCATATTTTGGCACCCAAAATTTCTCACGAATCTTAAGACTCGTCATGCATCACCATGTAATGATCAATAACAACTTTATAGAAATGGGTTCGGTCTTTTTTTACGGCCCAGCGATTTACACCATATCCCATTTCCACAAGAAACGTAGTAAGTATTTGACTTATCGTGATTTACGAGTTGGTGCAGCGCAGCGTGTGACAAAGACAAGAACAGTTGAAACAAAACATTCGAGAGTTGATTTCTGATGTAATGTAAGGGTATTTTCTAGCTGGAATTTTGGGCACAACTATTAAAAACAACTTTCAGTACTTATCTAGAATGGTTGATATAGGAATGATAGAGCCCGCTGGATCATTTTCGAATGAAAAAACTCACACAGTCACCACAAAAAAAATAGTACAAAGCTATGATTTTATTAGGGTTTTTAGGATTTTTTTTACACAAAACTGTGATTTTTTTTGCAATTTCAAGGATACAGCGGGCTTTAGATTTAGTTCTTCTAAACGCACGATTTTTTTCGTCATAACTGGTTGCTTAGTTTTGGCGCAAAATGTGTTCGAAAACAGCTGAAATTGTACCAAATTTCTACCGGGAAGTATCTCCTTAATTTGGGGCTCGTAAAAATATATATTTCCCAGAAACTGGGGAATGGCCTATGTCCTTTCACACGCCTACTAATGGCCTGCGGTGCAGGGGTGCGGGTGGTCCAGCGACCTACACTTGAGCGAAACAAATCTGAGATTATCGCAGTCGCAGGCAAAAACAGAAACCACATGTGTGACCCAAAGAAAATAGACCAGATTGGGGTTGATTGGTTGGCTGTGTTTCTGTTGAGAGGGTGTAACTAAAAAGGCCTGGATAAAGATTTCAGTTTTAAAACGGACGCGTACCGGTTAAGACGATTTTAATATTACGTGTTACGGTTGATCAAAAAGTGTTGAGGTGAGTGTATCACTGAGTTATCGGTCTTAGGGGTGATGTGAGTGAGATTGCACTAAGGTGTAATCTGCATTGTTAATTGTTGTAAAAGCTAATTGGATTATCTACTGTGATTTGGTGAGTCCGTTCCTTGTTGTTATTGTTGCATTTGACATGATTATTGATAAGTGGTACCGAGTCAGTTGTCAAATAATGTTAACAGAATCTTGAGAAATATTGCAATAGTAAAAGTGATGAAATGAGCCTTGACATGTCGAGCTAATTTAATTAGACTGTCCGTCCTCCTATGATACCTTTGTCCGTTGTCGCGGACGCCCGTTGTAGCTGGACCTGTTATCCGTTGTTGCGGATGCCCGTTGGTGCGGGACGCGCCTGTTGTCGCAGGCGGAAGAATAAAATCCGTTGTGGCGGATGTGTCTGTTGTAGGCAGATACGGTGCGGGCATCAATCCTGATGCCTTGTGGTCAAAGGACTAGTTATTGAAGTGGGCACCTCGCGCGTCTTCAGTTTTTCCCTTGGTGTCCTTGCACTCTTTGGTACTAGTCCTGGGACAGTAACTGGAGCGGGGCGTCGTGCGCCTTCATTTCCCTTCGCCCATTGCACGACTCAGTACTGTACCCTGTTGTCGGTAGCGAGAGCGAGTACTTCGTGCGTCTTCAGTTTTTCCCTTAGTACTCATTGCACACTCCGTACCGGACAATTTCGACCGTTGTGACTCCAACCTCTTGGACAGAGCTCATTGATTGATGAAATAATTGTTAATTAAAGCAGTCATATTCACGATAAAGTAGTACCAAACTTGTTGATTGTTGATAAGTCAAAATGACACGGACTCGCTATTAAAGAGTATTACTTTTTCTTGTTGTCGAAATAAGTCTACACATACTAAGAAAAAAAGGCAGAATATAGCCCCGCCCGCCCGCCCTATCTCAATTGTATGATTTTTTTTATTCGTCGTGAGCCAAGGGGACGGAGCTCAACTGCAAAATCCTTGTGTCTCTACGAGAAATTAAAACATGTTTTTGAGCATCGTGTTGTTGAAAGAGTACTGTGTATATTAAGAAAAAAATAAGGCCAAAGATTAGGCCCCACCCATGCCCGGCCCGTTCGCAATTCTCAATTTTGATGAATTTTTCATTCGTTGTCAGTTCGAAGGACGGGGCTTAATTGCAAGATCCATATTTGTTTTATGTTTGTTGTATGAATGTTTTAAGTTTCTTGTTCTGAAAAGACGATTACGTATATTAAGAAAAATGGTAAGATATAAGCCCCCCCCCCCAATTGTCTTGTCAATCTCAATTGTGATGATTTTTTTTTAATCGTTGAGAGCCAAAGGAGCGGAATTTAATTGCAAAACCCTTATTATCTTCTACAAGAAATTACAATGTATATAAATAATGTTTTTACCTTTTTGTTTCAATATGTGTAGACTTATTTTCACAACATGAAACTTAAAACATTAAACATTTTTTATTCATCGTAAACTGAGGGGCGGAGGTTTGTTGTAAAATTCTTACTTTTCTATCAGAAATTACCATGTGAAAGAAAACTAATAGATGTATTATTAATTAATTAAAAAAGAAAACCAAAACAGAAGCCCCACCCATCCGTCTCGATCTCAATCGTGATGAATTTTTCATTGGTTGTCAGATCGAGGGGCGGAGCGTAATTGCAAAATCCATATTTCCCTATAGAAATTTATCAGTTTAAACATATTTTATTTTCAAACGTCATATAACTGACACTTATATGACGGTCTTACCGGGGTTTAAGTGTCATTTCTATGACACCGTGTTTGAGCGGCGCATAAGTACTACTTATACTCCGCCGGAGTATAAATATGTGAAAATCATAGTGGTTGTCAACCATAGTAACCATGGTAAGTGAAATCAAGGCAATTCCTTAATGAAGCAAGAAGATGGGAAATAATCATTTCAAAAGAAGATTAATCGTTTGAAAATAAAATATTGTATTTCATTCGGAGTTTAAGTGACTTTATGTGACTCGTATGGACTTAATTCGCCTCGCTATTGCTCGGCGTTTAATCGTCCATACTCCGTCACATAAAGTATCACTTAAACTCCTAATAAAATAAATATCTATTAAGTGTCTTGTGAAAAGATGACTACACATATTATTAAGAAAAAAAGGCAACGTCAGTAATGGAACTTCAGTAGTTTTACATTTGTAATAGAGACAGCGACACGATATGACACTATACTGTCAGTAAATTAAGGTTGTCTAAGGAAAGCACATTTTACGAGTTAAAAAAGTTATTTTGATTGTAAGGTTATTTCCAGTTGTAATGGTATTTGTTTAATTTTTAATGTTAGTTAGACATGACGTCGTTTAGAACCAGGGATGTTATATAGTGAAAAATTATTAAGTCCATGTTTAGAACGAAGTCCTACTAGGTACTTTAAGATTAGGTTGGTACCGAATTTAGTTCCACGTGATACCATCAGAATTGACATTTGAATTTGATTTTAACGTATTATTTCTCACCACATGGCGCAATCAAGAAGTTCCATTGTTGGGTAGAAGTCTTTTACCATTTTTATTAATTTATGGTGGAGATATTTGAAGACTACAATACCAAAACCCATATGTATTAGTTGGTTAAGATATATTTTGTTAGTTAACATCATTATAAACATGTAAGTAGACTTACAAAAACCACATTTTTCTTATACTTCAGTTTTTCTGAAAATGATGCAACACATTTTAATTTTTCCAAAAACGGCAAATTTAAACTTTGGGCTATAAATTAGGTTCATTGTTTCACTTCCTTTTTTAATGAATGGGGACATATAAAAGCCATAAAATGAATCAATTTGGAATTACCTTTACGACACATTTCTTCTACATACAAAAATTCATAACGAAAAACACGTTAGTCGCGCCCCTACAGTTACATTTTTCTTTTTTTCCAGGAAAATCTTCCAGAATGGAAAACCGTAGTAGTCGAAGCGCAACAAATCGAAGGAAATATGCAACAAGTAAGATTTTTCATCGCCGCTTCCACTCTCACAGAAATAAAAAAATGGTTAGAAGAATTCCAAACAAAGATAAAGACTACATACAACGTTAGAACAACGTACAACAACATCAAAGGTATGCAGGTGAAATTTAAACAGTTGCTACATTGCCAGCACAGAATTCGCTCTCCAAACATGGACAGATCTACAAAAAATACGAACTGCCAATCTAGAATAACAGTAACTTTGCACAGCGAAAGAGCACATCTTAAAGGAAAGGCGCTTCCAAACGCACAATACCCTTGTGAAGTCATTTTTGTGATGTCGCATAACCACGACATGACTTTGGCTGAAGCGTTAAGACTGGGAGCCGTTTCTAAAGAAGTTAAGGATAAATTAAAAGATTTGTATAAAAGAGGTCACTCTCCAGCGACGGCTATAGAAATGTTGAAGACTGATATTTTTTTAAATAGTGATGATTACGAGAAGAAGCTGAACGATAGATATTACTGTCCAGAGTACAGATATTGCTCATATGTATATAACAAAGAGTTCAAAAGCAAGCACGGTCCAGTTGATTTTAACAAAAACGGAAAGGAATTTTTAGTGAAGAAAATACAAGCGTTTAACAAGAAACAGGAACGAAATTGTGTGGAGATTAATTTTTCTGGGGAGGATTATGTTGTGACGTAAGTATATGGTGTGGTGTTGTTCTTTCGTCATCATGTTTTAATTGTAGTATTTGCCTACCGCTACTAAAGCGTGTTCACGCATTAGTACCGACAGAAACGATCTTCATAAATTCGTTCGGCGGCGTGAGCCACAGCGGTATAGGGATTTACGTTTTGTCAACTTACCCTGATTATTTACCACTAGGAATTATTATCACCTCATCGGACGACGCGAATCTACTGTGTACGGGTTTGCGTCTTCTCCATAACTTGCTCGGGAGTGAAATATTCGGTGGCAATACTGAAGGTCCGAAAGTTTGTTTAATAGACGACTGTACAGTTGAACTGGCTGCAATTAATGAATTATGGACAAACGTAAAATGCTACTTGAGCAGCTTCCATATGTTGCAATCAGTGTGGAGGAGACTTACGTCCAGTAAACATAACATACCTCACGAACTGCATGACAGCTTCTACGATATTTTTAAAAAACTGATGAACTCTGGAGACGAACAAGAATATAACACTTTTTACCAGGAAGCCTTAACTGAAGCTCAAAATTTTTCCAGTTATCGCAAATATCTGGATCACTACTGCCAGAAACGACATAAATGGGTTCTGTGTTTCCGTGAAAGTTCCCTTGAAGAGAACCTCGATCGTTCCGAAGTAGTAATGAAATTTTTCCAAGATAAAATCTTCCAAAGAGCCAGATTGTTCAACATGGAGCAACTCGTTGATTATGTTTTAACAACGTTCGTAAGGTACTATGAGTTGCATTTAGTTGAAGCGGCCTCTTTTCGATCAAACAAATTTGGTTTGGGAAAGATGATAGAAATGCCACCGCTTCATTTAATTGAAAAGATTATACAGCATAATAATTATTTAGCCTTCGTGCCAGATGATGACCTCGAGAATCTTCTCTATGTTGTAAATATTGAAACATTGATATGTTCGTGTCCGAAGTCCACCAAGGGCTTTTTGTGTAAGCATTCTGAATGGACTTGTTCGGTTTTTAATTCAGAAAACTTTAATTCGAAGTTTAGTGAAACAAATGCAAGGACTTTGTTTTATAAAATAGCGACAGGCAGCGATCCACCGTTGGAGTTTTTTGAAACTTCGGATATCGATTGCGCATCTACTGAGTTAGCTGTAATTGAAGAAGCGACTGATTTCGATATTAACTATCACATTTCCCAAGAATATATAAATGAGCAGACTTCTTCAGATGAGGCGTTACGAGAAGGACAAGAAATAATACAACAAATTAATTTACAAATGAACACCTTTTTGGCTGCATCACCTCATGAAGTGTTAACAGCACTTAAGGTTATGTCTGAACAGATAAGTCAGTATAACACAGCGTCAAGTTTTGCCTCAGCTTGTCACAGTTTTGGAAAAGGTATGTCATTTACACTTACCAAGTATATTGCAGATTGTTATTAATTTGTAGATGTTCACCTTAACGGAAGTAGTGATCCCTTTCTCGAGGCAGTTCCTCAGAAAAAACAGAAGATCGAAATTACTTACAATATGCTTATTTCCGACCTTGAGGAAAACGGTCAAATTGATCTAGATGAGGATCACGTTATATGATGGTAAAGGTACGTTGTCAGTTTGAACGAGAAGTAGTTTTTGTGAAATTTATGTAAAAAATTTTATTGGACGGAAATCACTAACAATACGGGAATATTATTCATTAGACTGACAGAAGTTTCTGTGTGAATCTGATCTTTGATTTATCGATTTTTGAAAATGAAAGTTCATTTTTCTGAATTCACATGACGGTAATACCATTGTTAAGTATATTATAGTTTGACAACCTAATACAAATTTTACTTCGCCTAAATAGTGAGCTTTAGGACAAGGAATCCAGGGGGCGTGGGACAAATTTTTCGTCAACGCGCATTTTCACTACAGTGAGCCAACGTATTGGGTTTATTTTACTCTACATCAGATGGCGCCATCAAACATTAGCAAAGGCAAACACCCTTCACTCTGCTCTTATACGAGGAGTTATCCATAAATCCATAATTAACATTGTTCCGTAAACAGTAATGTGTATAAACATATATGTACAAAATATGAAAATATACTTGACATAAAAAATATGAAGCCAACGCGTTGTAACGTGATACGAAAAAATTGTATGTAATTTGACGCCTATTTTTATTTGACTATATCTGAAGACTGACAGAAACTTTCCAAGGGTTTTTAAACTGGTATAATTGTTTAGTTTTACAGGATTTAGTAAAATTTAAATTCGTGGTGTTACAAAAATATTAACACAAAATAACAGAATGACATAAACTTTCGGCGTTAACATTACAAATAATTACAAGACAGAAAAAACGCATTAAGAACTTAAGAGGCATGTTTGTAATATCGAGTTGTTAAAGGCTGCTTTGAAGTCTGTTTGGTTCTATGAAAAACAATTGCTGTTATCCGACGTTTTGATAGATTTTGTTCCAAAACTACGAGATAACTAATTGTTTCTTGAACTAGTTTCCGTAACTTCTAAAATTTAAAAAGGATACGCCGTTCTGCTGTAATAAAATCTAGAATAAGGCCAAAATCACACTAATATTACATCTGATTTTGTTAACCACATGAATATAATTTACATTAAAATAAGTTACAGACATTGTTTGAAATGTTTATTATAGTTCGAAAACAAGATAAAATAAATAAATAAATTAATAAATAAATAAATTAATTAATTAATAAATAAATAAAATGTGCAGTTTATAAACTTCAGAATTTTAGTATAAAAATAATCATGTTTGAAGCTTTATTTTGTCTGTTCGATTTTATTGGGTGTATTGGACCCCTCTCGGGATATAACACCGACATCAATGCACCGACCCAACGTTCTTCAACCGATGGGATGATTTATTACTTCCATTATGCTAGCCCTACACACAGCGATCTGGTTTTCGGATTTTCGGCTAGATCTGCACAGTTAGCTCTTTGCGCACTGCACACTGACACAGACATAGAGTATTTTGTTCACGCGAGCATCAAAAATACTACGCCGAAAGCACTTCTTCAAGTGTTATTTTTTTTAAGATGTAATATTTGTCAGCGTTTCCAAAATTTTCTTCTTTGCACAGGTCAACTAATTTTTCGTAAACTGCATTTTAAAATTTTTTAATTTAATAATTTATAATTTTATAATTATCATTTTAATGAAATTGTGTTGTTCACTTCGCGAACGACAGCAAACAATTTAAAATTACCACTAGTCCCGCACCTGAAAATCCATCTCTCCCAAATATGTATTTCTTGGCACGATTTGTAATCCGAAGTCTCCCTCCACATGCAATTTTTCGTCGCCTGAGAACTTGTTTGATCTACAGACCAAAGCACACTCAGGCCAATATCGGCCTTAAGCGATTTATCTATAAGCCGACATTCGTTAAAGTTGATCTGATACACATCCACTACGAAGAACTACCTAACCCATTTCGACTATTGGACTTTACAACGAATAAGTGAACAAAGTTCTTGAACATCTTAACGATTTAATACATAATGTTCCCGAATCACAAAATTTACATTTCAAAGTGTATTATCAAATGGTAAAACGCAATATCCAAATTTTACAATAGTATATCTCCCGTTTACGGTTTATGCATCCGTGTCGAGTTTTCACCTTAGACGTCAAGATTTTTGGAAAAAAAAAATCAACATTTTCCAATTTATAATGTTATTTAAATTTTAAAAACTAGCATAGTCCTGATCTTGTCATTTATAAATACGCTATTGGGATTTTTCAGCTTGTCGATTTCTCGATTTTTCAACTTTAAATGTCTCAATTTTTCAATATTTCAATTTTGGGCTTTTCCGATTCTTCCATTCTTCAAATTTTCTATTTCTCGATTTTTTTATTTTTCGATTTCTCAATCTTTCGATGTTTCAATGATACAATTTCTCAATTTTTGTCCTCTTCAATTTTACGGTTTTTAAATATTTCGATTTTTCAATTTTTCAAATTTTCACGTTTCTAAATTTTCAGTTTGCCGATTTCTAAAGTATTTTTTTTATTTGTCCATTTCTGGACTTCCTAAAGTTTCGATTTTTCACATCTTCAATTCTTCAATTTTTTGATTTTTTAAGATTACGATTTTTAGATTTTCGATTTCTCAATTTTCCAATTTTTTAATTTCTCAATTTTTTGAATATTTCTTTCAGTTATGGATTTTTCAATATTTCAATTTTTCGACTTTTCGATTTTTGAATTGATGGATTTTTTTTTCATTTCTCGATTTTTTACTTTTTGGATTTTCAATTTATTGTAAACTTTAGATTTTTCAATTCTGCGACTGTTTAACGCTTCGATTTCTCAATTTTTCAACTTTTCGATGTTTTAATATTCCATTTTTTAAAATTCTAGGTTTTTGGATATCTCGAGTTTTCAATTCCTCTATATTTCAATTTTTCAATTTTTCGATTATTCAATTTTTTAATTTCTCAATTTATCGAATTCAGATGTTTCGTTGTTTTGATTGTTCAATTTCTCAATTTTTCAATTTTTAACTTTCCTTTTCGGCTTCCGACTCCTCAATTTCTCGATCCTCCGATTTTTCAATTTCTCGAAGTCTCAGTTTTTGAATTTTTCGATGTTTCGATTTTTGAATTTCTCGGTTTTTAGAGTTTTTTCTTTTGAGCTTTTCAATTTTTGGATTTCCAATTTTTCAATGTCCCGATTTTTCAATTTTTCAAATTGAATTGGATTTCTCGATTCTTCAATTTTGCGATATTTTAATTATTCAATGTTTTAAATTTTAGATTTTTCGATTTCTCGATTTTTTGACTTTTCAGTTCTTCAGTATTTAAATTTTTCAATTTTTCAAATTTTTGCGTCAAATTTTCAGTTTTCTGATTTCTCAATTAATCTTTTTTTGATTTTCCCACTTCTCAAAGTTTCAATTTTTCAGTTCTTCAATTCTTCGATTTTTCGACTTCGCTTTATTGGTTTTTTGATTCCTCAATTTTTGGATATTTCTTTCAGGTTTGATTTTCTTTGATTTGATTTTTCGACTTCTTGATTTTTCTATTTTTTATTTTTGGATTTTCAGTTTTTTGTTTTTTATACTTTAGATTTTTCAATGTTTCGATTGTTTTATATTTCAATTTTTCAAATTTTCCATATTTTAATTTTTAAATTTCTAGATTTTTCGGTTTCTCGAGTTTCCAGTTGTATATTTTAATTCTTCAAATTTCCGATTTTTTAAATTTTTTGAGATTTCAATTTTTGAGATTCGGATGTTTCGATGTTTTGATTATTCAATCTCTCGCTTTATCAATTTTTCCATATTTATGTTTTCAATTTTTCGATTTTGGCCTATTTCGGTTTCTCAATTTTTTGATTTTTCGACTTCTCGATTTTTCGACTCCTCGATTTTTTTGTCTTGATTTTTCGATTTCTCGATCTCTCAATTTTTGAACTTTACAATGTTTCGATTTTTCGATTTGTTGGTTTTTCGATTTTTGCTTTTCGGTTTGTCGATTTTTCGATGTTTAGATTTTTGATTTATCCGATTTTCCAATTTTTTAAATTTTCCCCTTCTCGATTCGTTGATTTTTCAGTTTTTCGATTTTTAAATTTTAGATTTTCGAATTTTTATTTTTTTGAATTTTTGATGTTTGGATTTCTCCATTTTTCAGTTTTAGGATATTTTAACTTTTCAATGTTTTAAATTTTAGATTTTTCGATTTTTTAGTTCTTCAATATTTTTTTATTTTTCAAATTTTCACGTTTCTGAATTTTTAGTTTTCGGATTTCTCAATTAATCTATTTTTTATATTCCCATTTCTCCACTTCCTAAAGTTTCAATTTTTCAGTTCTTCAGTTCTTCAATTTTTCGATTATTCAGGTTTTTGATTTTTCAATTTTTCGATTTCTCAATTTTAACTTTTCAATTTTTAAATAATTTTTTTTTTCGATTTTTTGAGTTTTCAGTTCTTCCATATTTCAATTTTTCAATTTTCGAAATTTTTCAATTTTCGATTGTCCAATTTTTTTTATTTTTCGATTTTCTAGTTTTTCGATGTTTCGATTTTTGAATTAACCGATTGTTCAATTTCTCGATTTTTAATTTTTAGATTTTACAATTTTTATTTTTTTGATTTTTTTATGTTTCGATTTCTCGATTTTACAATTTTCCCATATTTGAATTTTTCAATGTTTTAAATTTTCGATTTCGAGGATTTACTGTGTTACAGTAGTCATCAGTCATTACTCATCAAGAAAGATTATTGATGTGCGTTAAAATGCCTACATACTGATAAGCACGTATATACAAGACGCATTTAAGGCTGTTTTAAATCTGCTACATTTAATTTTTGCGATTTTAAATTTATTTCTTGATCTCTAAATCGTATATATTTAAATGGTAATAAATATTTTGTGATAAAATGCATTTCAGTTTCAAAGATAATATGTATTTAATGATTTGACTACTGTTAATAAAAAAAATACATAAGAAGATGTTCATATTGAATTAATTTGGTGTTCATAGTTTGATGATAACCCATAGTTATTCTGGAGGCAAATTAGATGACTTGTTACTTATTAATTAAAGTAGTACAACGTACTGATTAATACGTCCGTTTACTACTTTATCGACATCACGTGCTTACGGACTATTTTTACCCTCTTTCGTAAGGTACCGCCACTTCATAGTGAAGCGAGTGAGATGTAAAATGATTGTCCGTATAGGTTGTCCAACTATAATATACTTAAACAATGGTAATACTGTAACAATTTCATAGTGTTTTTTTCTTTTTCAGTGGTATGCTGTTGAAAAGTGCTGAATCTCACCAAACAATGCAACAGAAGTATGGTGGCTGCAAAAATACCAAGATGGTATTTCACACGTTGGATAATCTGGGCGAACAAAAGGTCAGATCTTTATTTTGTATTTTTATATATAAGATGATTCAAATTTAACAAATTACATTTTTGTTAGATAAAAATACAGTTTTTACCAAGGTAAAATTATAGTAAACATGTACTAAAATTAAAAAAAATGCTATTTCACACATTTAACACTGTATTTGAAATCAAACAAAAACTGTTCAATTTCAGTTCGTATTTCACAAAAAGACATGCATAAAAGCGTAACCGCGTTGAAAAATCAGATTTATTTTAATTAGAGTCTCACTTGGAGAACAATACGTGAATTATTACGAGAATCTAATGCGAACTAAAAGTTCGTGACATTGGAATGTGTCTGAGACATAATTTCAGGTTTCCGTTACTTCGGGAATTTACTTGAAAAGTCCAAATCAATCCATTGGAGCACAGTATAGACATCAATCAGTAGGGACAACTCGTGTCGGCGCCTTTGATCTTTCTAACCCGAATTTTAAGCCGTCATCGGCGGTCTTTGCCTAAATTATTTCTAGATGTCGCCACTCAATTTAAAAATAATCACGTTATTAGAAAACGCTATTATACATTTTATTTTTTTTACAAAAAAAAACAGTAAATAATGGTTCCATCAAAATATGAACAATGTTTTTTTTTTTTTTAGAATATCTCTGAAAATTATACTTAACTTCAATAATTACACTGGAAGATCAGCCTTAAACCACCAAATCCAATACAACTAAACTGCCAAATATCAAGTATTTCACATTAGTCACTATATGACCAAAGTACCGCAGTTCAATGTTCCAATGTGTAAGAAAGAGAAGTACTTTGCGTTGCGCGCTCTCATACCGTCACAAGACAAACGACCACCCATGAAAACGGTTCAGTAAAAATAACGAGTTGTCCCTACTGGAATGATCTCTATATTGTGGTGGAAACTGGTAGGTAGGCAACCTAAAATACATCCTTTTCATTTTTATTTCTCCTAATTACCTATTCTATAAGAAGTTGGAAAAAATGTTGTTCGGTTGCTTATTTACCGTTAGTTACTGTTTACTGAACAGATTCTCAAAAAGAGAATAGCATGTAAGAAAAGATTTATAGCAAACGCAGCTAAGACATAAGTATTTTATTTTTTTTTAATTTGAACCGAATACAAACAATTTAACTTGAATGACTAAAAATATTAAGAACTATCAACACACAACACAGATAATTACAATTTATTGTAGGTAATAACTAGGTCCCTAACAATTTAAACTACAAACTCCAACCAGCTACCGATTTGCTCGAATATTTTTTACTTAAAGAGTTTTGCTTGTTGCTTACAATTTTCAACCTAAATACTATAAACCTTGTGATAAGTTTTTCTCGAATTTTATGACACGATCAATTTCACATGAAATATCTTTCATTTTGTTGAAGAAAAAAAATCTTTAAATTAAAATTTGGGTTGTATACTTGATGAAAAAATGTTCTAAACACCGTTTCCAAATCCAGCATAAAATAAAATATAATTTCGTTACAAAAAAATGACTTCCTGGTAAAGCATTTAAAGTTTGTCAAACGTGCAAATTTTTGAAACATGGGTTTGTTAGAACCCAATGAAGCAATGCGAAAATCGTGCTGTCATGACAAACCGGTAATTTTTTTCAAGTCATTTTTCATGGAACTCCAAAAGGTCTGCGTAGAAATTAATACCCCTGCTTGACATGGTTTCCAGACATATTTTGGTCCTACTTTCATCTCTCTAAACCATCCAATGAAGTCTTTGAGAAATGTTATAGTCTCACTGTATTTTTCAGAATTAAATTTACTTAACCCATTTTTGCCCGAATTATTAAAAATTGGTTATTCAGCGAACGACAGTTGCTCTGGAAATAATTAGAACTTTTCACGTTCGTTTTCATTTGTGATAGCGATACTAATCTTAATGAAGTTTTCAATTGTTTAGCATCTGTCGTGGAAGTACGACTTCTAACTTGGGAAAAACGTTTTCAATCGCATCTTGACAAAGTCTACGTAACAAAATAAATTCAAACCCATGGATCTGTAGATATTCCTTTTGAAAATCAAAAGCACTTTGACTACTGTCCTGTTTGATACGGTTTCCAACCGTTCTTAACCTTCATATTTGTAAAAATTTCCACAACAGCATGGATAAAAGTTATAGCTTCGTCATATTATTCTACATTATTATGTGAAAGAACATATTTATAGTAACGTCCTGTCATTAATTTAAACCATTTGTGCATGATTCTTAGAAACCAAGCCGCAGTTTCAACACACTAGCACAAAGGCGCACATTCATTTTTTGAAAATGTGTTCGATGTAGAATACTTTCCTTCAACCTGAGAGACACAGCATTAAAGTATCAAATTTATCGAAGTCACAGACTTTTTGTACAGGCTGTATTGAAACAGAGTTAGAGGGAAGATTATATTTCCAGCTAAAGCACCACAAATATTTTTAAACATGTGCACAGAATTGGAAAAGTACCAAATAAAAATAATGATCGTGTTCCGATATAAAAACAGCAGTGGGTAAAGAAATAATATACAAGGTGATTGCGAAATACATGCAAAAAAAAATGGGGAATAGCTCACAATATGATTATGTCACTGGGTAAAATTCACGGTCCTAAGTAGTAGCAGTGTCTAGAAAAAATTATTTGAAATTAAATGTAAATTGTTGTACGCGCCGCTGGACTGTTTTGTGACCTACATAATTACTACAATGAATGGAATAGAGCGAGTCGGATTAAAAACCAAAAAAGTGACTTTATCAGGCACTTTTTTAATCCCAACGTGAAAAACACGAGAAGGGCCAGTTAGCATCGAGCGGTCGGTGAAATCGGTTTATGGTGGAGTTTTCCCATGCAGATTGTGTCGATATGGTAATTGGTGTGGGCGAACATTTGCATGAGTGATAGAAAAACTCCGAGATCATGGTACCTTCAACTTCAAACTCACGATCGTGGCCGTGATAGGACAGAAAGAAGAAGTTGGATTTTCACAGCTTGTAGTGCATCCTACATTAAAAGAATACGGCCACATCCATACCATGTTGACAAAGTAAAGGGTTTGGAGCCCGCTGATTGTCCACGTTGTGTAACTCACTTTTTGTCCGATCAAACTCCACATGCTCGTCCACAAATACGATTGCAAGAGACGGTTTTCGATAAATGTGTATCGGTTGGATGAAACAGTTCGTTTGTGGAAATCAACAGTGTCCAGAAATTATCGAAGAGCTTCAACGAGTGAAAGTGGTTTTTACCTATCAACACACCTCTTGCAACGCTCTGACGCCTGTATTGCTAGTCAAGGACAACATTTTCAAAATTTCTTGTAAAAAGGTAGTAGCATTCTAAGTTGCTCTTATTTCTGTTCCAATAAACAATCTAAAATCGTTGTGACAAGGACCAAACATCCATCAGAATCAAAATTACCAAAAAACTTTCACATTGACCTTTAACGATGATGAATGAGTAAATGAATGAACGAATGATAAGCAGCAAAAAGTCGGTTTTACTTTTAATTGAAACTGAAAGTGTTTAGGTCGTTTTTATTCGAACGTTTTTCCAACTCTGTTTACAAGGTGGCTCAGTGCCTTCGTATCGAGGGTGGTTCATGGGGGTTTTGGCCCATTCGATTTTTAATTTGTTTTTTCTATATTTCGGCTCTACTAGGGTGGGGGATGCCGTGGTTAAAATATTTGCACTTATTTCGCAGTCACCCTGTATACAGGGTTATTCAGCTAAGATGACCGATTTATGATTTTAAAATAGGCAACCCAAAATACCGTTTCCACCTGAATCTGGATTACAAAAAATGTTTCAAAATTAAATTGTATCAAAGTTTGCTAAATGTATAGAAACGTCAGTGTTGACGTTGGTCAATGTCAGAAAAACGCCTATGCATTCAATAACGAGAAAACCGACATGACCCTTAGTTATGGACACGTTATGGAAAATGACACAAAAAGGTTAGTCGTACAGCGTGGCGGCTTCTGATGTGACATAATACGAATATGTTCCGGGTGTGACTAGCTTCGTAGGGGATATTGACGAGCCTGGATTATTTCTTGGGGCACATTGCGATAATCAAGGTTCTGGGCAAAAATACTGCATGCGACGCAGCAATGTGTGCTTCAGGATAATAAAGCCTTTGAGCCTTTTAATTAAGTTTACCACAGAGGGAACTTTCACCAATTTGCTCTTAGTGGTATAGAACACGACCGTCTCTAAAATGATTATGCCTTATCTCCAAGTTGCTTCCTGTAGCGGAACACGCGTCACACTTCCCCTCAGCGGTTTGCGGGTTGGAACCACTTTTGAATTACGATTAACGAAATAAAATATTATATCTACAAACAATAGAAAATTCGCGGTATGTATCGTTTTCTTAAGCAAATCATATTCCGTTGTATCTGTACAACAATTACAGTAAAAAATAATGTTAAAGTTAAACACCTAGATTTCTTACCCTACTGTGGTATCCTTTGCATCAGAGAGCCAACTGTATATGAAAAAACTTTTGCCATGACTGACACTTCATTTTGTTCGGAAACATATGGGCGTCTGTGAGTTTGGGACACAGCCGTATGGACTCCATCGAATCTAACAAATAAAACCTTTATATGTGGTCCCAATTCTCAGTTTTCTTTATCCCATTTTTTTAAACGTTGGCACACAATTTGTCAGCATTGTTCAATTTGTTAACCGCCAATTTCAAACTGTTGAAGATTTGAGAGTTGATTTTTTTGCCGTAGGGAAGTTTATTTAAACATATTGGTTAGTGTTCGCTGGGACGCCAAAACGAAGATTCGGGAGAGCAAACGGTAAGCTTTTCCACTGCATTTATACAGCAGTATCGATAAAATGTTTTCGTCCAAGGTAAATCTCCGTGGCATTTGCCGTTGAACTCGGACTTGCTGCGTGAGAAATGTATAAGTTGGTTCATTCACACTATTCATTAAATTAGTAAAATCGCGACACTGGGCTACTTGCTCCGCATTTCACAGACGTT